GAGACTTCTGCCAGCTGCTTGTAGAACGCTTCATCTATCCCTGCATCCTGGTTGGGTGGTCTATAGCAGACTCCCAACAGGACATCTGCCTTGCTGGCCTTCCCCCTCATCCTTACCCATAAGCACTCAACCTTGTCATCACCACTGTTGAGCTCTGTACAGTCAAAACACTCCCTAACATACAGAGCCACCCCACTGCCTCGCCTCTCCCTCCCTGCCTATCCCTTCTGAAGAGCTTATAGCCCTCCAGTGCAGCACTCCAGTCATGAGAGTTGTCCCACCACGTTTCTGTGATGGCAACTATGTCATAGCCATCCTGCTGCACAAGGGCTTCCAGCTCCTCCTGTTTGTTGCCCATGCTACGTGCATTGGTGTAGATGCACTTGAGCCGGGCTATTGATTTCACCCCCAACATTGCCATGCCACCTCTGGGCTCCTCTCTAGCAAGCCTGTTGATATCCCCTTCCCCCTTCAAACCTAGTTTAAAGCCCTCTCAACGAGTCCCGCCAACTCATGGGCAAGAATCCTTTTCCCCTTTGGAGACAGCTGATCTCCATCAGCCACCAGCAGGCCCGGTGCCTTAGGACAGGGAAAAGGAGATAAAAAACAGAAATAAAATTCAGGCTGTAACACAGACTGCTTCACCTTCAGACACTGATGACAGAAGCTAAGACATCATCATTTTTAGCCATGGAGCCTTCCTTTCATAGCCAGTAACTAAGAAATTACAATACGCTCCCAAAATGTGGGAAACAATCAAAACCTTGCTACTCAGTACCCACTGAGCTACTCAGTAAGTTTCTACCAATCAGTCTGTCCCATTACCTCTGTCCCACTTCGCATGTGTACTTAAATATTAACTGACACTTAAAACGACCGCTTATCCTTTACTGTGACTCTTTGGTTTAAATCCATTCTTCTTCCAAAGAATAACACAAATGCTCCATTCAGAACAGGCCTTCTCTCAGGCTCAGTCTAAGGAATCTTACAAAAGCAGAATGCTGACAAGGATAGATACTGGGAACTGAATTTGCATCCCACTATTTAAGACATCGTCCTGGGAACTGATAACATTGATTCAAGTTCCCAAAGGCAAGACAGATTCAAACCCAGACATCCCAAAGCTTCCAATCCTAACCAATAAGCAAACAAATATGAACACACTGTGAAGTTAGCTCCACCTTCTGCTATTTTCCAAATCTAGATCTTTTCTCCCCCCTCACTTTCAGTTGTATTGCAATCCAGACTACTGAAAGAGTTCATTTAGGAAATGCTGGACAGTTTCAATGGTGCTTAAATACTTGCTTCTGAGGCAGCTGAAGTCATCTAGTGAATGTAACCTGCTCAAAATAGTCCGAATCACCCCAAAGCATCCTTTTTGGCAAACAAACTGTTCTCTGCATTTTTTCCCAGAGCTGTAAATAGATACAATAAGGCATGGAGTCTCCTGTGCGTAACTAGCAGTACACATCCCCTAAAGCACTCACAGCTCAGCCCCTCCCACCAAAATGCGTTTGGAATGGTGCTCCCCACCCACCAGGCCCGGGGCTCACAGCTCAGCGAGGCCCGGCTGACCCCAGCTCACCAACTCATGCCCAAAACAAGATACAGAGGACAAAGAACGTCCTGTGGAGTTCTCCTTCCCTACCCCTTCTCAAAACTGCTGCCAGATAAAGAAGCCCTTGTCAGAGGAAAACCAAAGCAGCACTTCTGGCCATTTGAACTATACATAACAGCCCATAATGAGCAAACAATAAGCAGCTTGTGTTGAGAAAAGCCTGTTCTACAGCAAGGCACTCCCCGAGGTGGGGAATCCCTGGTTTTCCTCTGCTCACTGAGATGATATGCTTCCTCTGCAGTACTGTGGTGTGCACTAAGAACAAAAGGGGAAAAGGAGAAGTCAATCTCTCATTCTGCTGGGCCTTTTAATGCAGCATCAGTAATTAGTTCCAGCATGTGGCTAAACCAGTCACCTTACCAATGGGCGAGGCTGCGGGGGGAGATCTCATAATTCAATCCCTGCCACTGACTTGTGATATGATCAGATTTTACAGCTTTTACGGTACCAGCTTTTGAACAGATTTGATAAAATGAATAAAACCAAATGCAGAGCTCACAAGTGAGAAAGGCATTTGTGGATGCTATAAAACACACACACACAAAAATAAATCCTCTTTAAACCCCATAAAACCATTATTGCTTTATGCAGATGACTACTCAACAGAACAGTGTCAGTTGTCTATTTGATTCTTGCAGGGTACTGGGGACACTGTAAAACACTATGGACAAATCTATAATTTCAGTTGTCAGGGTACCCTACAGGTCACGAGCAGCAGATGGAGAAACTGTGCAGGCTGAGGTTGTATCTGTGCCCTATTTGAATCACAGCTAAGTCTTCCATTGGCTTGATCCTATGCACATGGAGGAATTTCCTATCAATTCCAAAATCCAGGAAATGACATCCAAAGTTCTTAGTTACCTCGGGAAGCCTCATGACAATACTGAACTTCAGCTTTTCATTCTTCTCAGTGTCATCCAAGTCTACAAGCAAAAGGGAAAAAAAAAAACCCAACCCACCACCATTAGTGGTAACCACATAACTAAAACTTTCAACTTTCACTTAAGACATTCTGAATAAATATAATCTCTATAATGAAATGAAAGTTTTAATTTTAAATAAGGGCTATTAGGAGTGCTAGTTATGTTTATACTGTTTATATAATTTTTTTTTGTATATTTGTACGTAACTTCACCATTTTATGTAACAATTTATACAGTAATTCAAACATGTTTTGATGAAATAGAACTCCCCGTATTTATAATATTTCATTTACCAAGACCAGGCACAGACTAATACTGCATATAGTGTCCCCTTTTTTGAACACTGGAGAAATAGCACATTACAAGGGAACATGGCTGCAGCTGTGACGAAACGCATTCCTGTTGGAGAGTTGTATCACAGTACTGCTGTATCCCAGGAAACTTATGCTACAGCTCTCTCTTCCTCCCTCCTGATCTTAAAAAGGCAGTTAACACGGTTGTGATGCTAACTGTGCCTGCAACTGCCAATTTGCCTCACTCCCCATTTTGTTCTGAAGCCTTAGGCCCCTCTTAATGACTATATGGTTTCATACAGAACCGATTTTAACTCCCGCTTTTATGTAACCTTACGATATATTTAGAAGACATTCACACCCTCAATATTTACTAAAGTACTGGGATGCTGGGTCAGGTAGGCTTTTGTTTACTTATTTTGAATTTTGACTTCCTAGCACTGAGTTTCTAGCCATTTGCCAATCCCAGCACTAGGATTATCTTGTTCCAAACATAATTAAAGCAAAAGCTGAGGACTAGATATCAGACTAACTTCCTTACACATAGGTGTGCACTTTCATAGAGTCACATAAATCCCCCAACCAATTCTATGATGAACTTTAGTATTCACTTTTCTAAGAAGTCCCAAGTAGAAAAATTATAAACTTAATTTCTCCCCAAACAGATAGTTCCTTGTCTGCTCAGTCACATAGTCTGAGCCCCAATTTTCTCCTTTCAGCTGGGCAACACCATCACCTACAGCCCTCACTGAAAAAGCACTCTGGAAGAAGAACTGAGTCTCCTGGGCAGTAAATGCTGTGTCTGAGTTTGAACGGCTGGAAGGACATCACTCCCTGTTAGCTGGCTGGTAACAAACAAAACACATGAAACTCACTGTACCTTTCAGCAACTTCCTGACACATGTTTCTGTCAAATGCAAGACTCCATTATCAATATAGTGCAGGAGGGTGTGCAGGGGGAGACATCGAACACCAAGCCCCAAGTGCAGAGTGTGAAAACCTATGAAAGAGGAACAAACTTGTTTGGTACAACAACATTTTTTTTTTTTTCCTAAGTCTATGTTAGAGACTGGCATTACTCTAGCTAAAGCCAACACTCCTTAACTTCTGACTATTTCTAGTTGGTGAGGAAATCAATTTATCAAAAGTCATGTAGTCTTATTTAGGCATTCTTTAAGCCCTCTCAAGTACAATCCTGTCAGAAAAGGGAAAGCCAAGGGGACTGAAAACAGTCATTATAGTCGTACAGTCATTAAACGTCTCCAAGCTGTTGCCTTATATCTGAATCATGCTATTAATTTGTCTTTTATCTCCCTCCTTCCTCCAATTAACCAAAAACTGAGGCCTCACCACCTTCAGTATGCGGCTGCCACCCACACATTCCCACAGGCAACATTAAGACTTCAGTCTCTCACTTAACATCAGCCAGATGATGGTCTTGCATCACGTGATGCCATTACGTGGCAGCATTTGCGCCCACACAGTGTAAGTTTGAGGGACAACTTCATACCAAAAACAGTTTCAAAGACTGAAGATGGATCAGGAAATGCAAACTAGAAAGATTCAAACAGAATCAGAAAGCATTAAGAAGTTAAGAA